GGACAAGGTTGTCGTTGCAGCGACGACAAGAAAAATACGGAGCTGATTAATAAAAATAATGTTATGGATGTTCTCACATCAGCTAAAAATTTGGGGGTTAGGCTGGACCAAGTTTTTAAGGCACATCAAGCAGCAGGTGTTGGTTCTGTGTTTCACCCACGTTGGGGAGCCAGTGGCAGGAAAAGAGCAAGAGTTGATGGCTAAACTGAATGATGAAACATCCACAAGCTTCATCACCTCTTCCCAAGGATTCCGAACACCAGACACTCCTCATCTCCCTGAGCAGAATGAAACACTCTGATTTCTATGACATCACAAGAGATGACGTCACCAACGAGCCAGAAACCCAACCCCTGCCAGCAAAAATTCCCCCTCAATTAGAAAAATCACCGTTCGCCAAAGACGCTCCCGAACAAAATCGCTCCATTTGAGAATATCCCGTTGCCCGGGCAACACAACTGCAAACCGCAGAGTTCAGACCACGATGTCTATTTTAAAGCAACAAGATACAAATCTTTGAAGAAAACACATCCAAAGGCCTGTTTGTGCTGGAGCCAAAACGCTGCTGTAAGTGGCGCGGTGAGAGACGACATCTGAGCGTGGAGCTTTTGGGGTTGAAGGGTTTAAAGGCCCAATTATCCCCGTGACAGATGCAAAGGAGGCAGAGGAAGGTGAAGAGAAATGGGATGCAATGAGCCAGGTGTGGAAAGAAGAGGAGAACATCTCCCCACGCTCCAGGCAGGGGTCACTGGAGAGCACTGGAGCCCTGGTGGGGCAGCAGAGCTTTGGCACCACGGGCACCTGAGGGTTTGCTCCCTTTTTTCCCTTGAGATTTTTACTCCACACACAGCAAATATCTCCATGTCAGCACATCAGTTTGGCCTCATTAAGCAGGACCCAGGATTTGGGGCAACATCTGCCCTCGAGTTGGGTTCCACAACCGGCTCCTGAGTCACTTTTGCTGTTGGACAAAGCACCAAGGACCTGGACACCAAGAGGTGTCACACAGCCAGAACCTGCCAGGAGCAATTCAGGGTGTCAGTGGTGAACCCTGATCACCCCTGATGGATGGAGATGGGGGAGGTTGAACCAGCTTTAAGCACAAGATGCAAGGAGAGGAACATTGGAGACCAGGCAGCTTCATTTTGCTGAGCAGAGGGGCCTGACAACAGCAGTTTGTAAGGAACAAACTGAATTGAAGGGATCCAGGCTGCTTCCAGGAGAGGGAAGCAGGCCAGGCTTTGTGAAGAGCAAAGAAAAGGGAGGTATCACCCCGCTGTCTCCTGCAAGGAATTCTGACAGCCTTATGTGACATCCCCAGAAACAACAGAAATTAAATCGAGCCGAAACGCCTGCCAAGAGATGAAAAACTGATCAGAAACCTAATTCATGACTAACTGTCAGCCTAAAAATGTCTGCCAAATGGATTTCACAGGCCCCTACCCCGGGTTCAGGATTCAATTTTGTCATTAACAGCCGGGATGATGGAGTGCAGAATATGCTTATTAAATTCCTCGACGAGCCCGAGCTGGGAGGTGATGCAAAGTCATTAAAGGATTAGAATTGAAAGGATGGTTGGAAACTCAAGAGCAGGGCGGTGGGAAGGGGGGG